AATGATTTGTGACACTAGACCACACAACAACTTTGTCTCTATTCTCTCTTTCAAAAGCAAGAATATTAATATTCTATTTATTATAAATTGGGTAATATCGGTATTACGAAAAATTAAAACCGGATAATTCACAATCAAATGTCTCACCATCAATGTGAGCATTGATCGTGTATTTTGGTGAATGAGCCATTTTGTGAAAATTTTGGTTTGCTAGTAGTGTATTTTGGTGGTGATAATGAAGCATGACTTGGATCAGAAAGGGTGATACGCGCACTTAAATAGTTTGAAAAAAGCATGGGAAAAACGCACTAATGCGCTATAGGCATTGGGGAATGCCTTATATGCTCTATATAGGCGCCATCGCATGTGGCATTTCACGTGATCTATAAACCTGCATGCATTTCACGCTGTCACGATAGCCTGCACGCATGCTCCTATGAACCATTAACAAAATTGCGAAATTTGTAAGTCATATTTTGAATATATTACTAAATTTGTTGTTACATTACTATATTTCTCGCTAATTCTTTTGCTTAATCATTTTTTGTTAGCATCCAAAGAGATTTTGTTGTCGTGTACATGAATATGTCCCACATGACAAATTGATAGAACCGTATTTACGAGCATTCAATTTTGGTGATTTACTCAACATAGTCTCCTACTCTGTTTATTACAAATTTATCCTCACATTGGTAGAAAGATGGAGACCCGAGACACACATATTTCATCATTCGTTCAGTGAATGTACCGTCACACTAGAGGGACGTGTACATATTTTTGGGAAAACATTATTCAAATATGATATTAACTGAAGATTCGATCGAGAATGAAAAAATAATTAAAACACAGTGTTATATTATGTTACTATTTGGTAACTTTTATTTCTTAAAACTACTGGTAATACTGTAAATATTATGTATTTACTTTTGTTAAGAGACATAAATAAAATAAGAACATATAGTTGGTGTTTAGCTGTTTTGTCCCATATATATAGTTTTTTGTGTAAAAACACACAAAAATGTATTTGTTTCTTTTATTCTTGTATTTTTTTTGCTCTAAGCATGAGGTTGGTCGAGAATGCTATTACTCGCCCTGTCAACAAAAATAGCTCCACATTCCCCTACACGACAAAGTAAGTTTATCTCATTATTTCCACTTACATACTTTACTACAAATAACTGTATATAATTAATTTTCACTCTTTTCGGTTTAGGTGGTCCGTTCTAGGTATGAACTACAAAAAATGTCTCAAACACGCTATAACAATTTATTGAAATCTTATAGATCATCTTGGATCAAATGATGTATTACAGCTAAACAACTCACCATCTCATTAATTTAGTTTTAATATTATCTATTTACAAATCTTCTAATAATGTATTTTTCCTCTAAAGTTTATCTGGACGTCGTATCTGGGTCTTGACCATGATATTAACCCCAAGGATGTTGTAGTTTGGACTGCAAAAATAACAATTATCAGGTTCACTACTATGGAGATCCATCAGAGTGACCGTGTCAAACTGCAGTTCGACATGTAGCAACAAATCCCAGACCCCCCGACGTGTTTGGGACAATAAAATCAACTAAGAGTTGATGCCCAATGGAATTATTCCGATTGGAGAGAGTTCGCTAGGGAGGCGTGTCGTCAATCAAAGCATCGACATCAACGAACCAAAACGAACCTATCATGTAGGATGCTAGACCAACTTGAAATTATATGAATTGGTATAGGTCGTTTACAACAATACAATTTTTGTCTGGCCTGAGGTATTTCATCAACCCACGTCAACAAGCTTCGTCATCATACGCCTAACAACTAACCCTCGCCCAACAACCAACTTCATAACATTACCAAACAACCAACCCCACAATATCACCATCCTATATACACCCAATAACCAACATAACATGATTACAGACCCACATACACCCAACGTTGCAACCAATTCATGCCACACATCCAAACACAAAACTAAGAGCATGACCTGTACCGCCAACAATCATATGCCGCCACCACATCTTACTATAGCCCCAATGAGGTATATGATTCCACCCCATCCTACCATAGCACCCAACAATATACTCCCAAACATCACATCACCAAAGCACCTTAACATCACATTGTCAAAGCACCCAACCAACACATGCCTTTCAAACACTACAAGAACCATCACTTTGTTTCCAAAACGATTTAATGTCCTAATTCAACCAACCATTATGTCCACACGTAACCAAACCAACACGACCAAACTACGAAAATATGGGCACCAAACTCAATTAAGACAGTGTTGACTTCTCTATGTGTGTGTATGTGTATGTGTGTGTGTTTGTGTGCGTATGTGTGTATGCGCATGCGTGTGTGTGCGTTTATGTGTTTGTGTGCGGGTTTTTGTGTGTGTGTGTGTGTATGTGTGTACGGCGTGTGTGTGAATAAAATTGGGCCACAAAATCTAATCTCCTTTATTAGATGCCAATTAAGTGAATCATAATGTCAAAAAATGATGGGGGGAAGGGGATGGGGGGAATGTATCTCCAATCAACACAAGTTAATTGCAGCCTCATGTTCCAACCCGTCTAATGTTTTTGAACTAATGACATTATTACATATAACATTGATAAATAATCACAATCTAGCTATAGTTTTCCTTATTTTTTTTGGCAAGATGCCACAAATAGCCGTTGGTACAAATTGTTGCATCAAGACATGACAATAATGAGATTTTAGACAATTAGTTTGATATTTTCATTGATATAAGTTTTTAAACATTTGAGAATATCCTTGAGGTACTTTGATACCATTCAAACACTCATAAAATTATTATTTTTTCTTTTCTAGACAAAGTGTGACATCCTTATGGAAGATATGTTCTTTTACCTATTTCTTTTAGGGCTAAATCTTGTCGGATACCCATCTCCATCAAATCTAGACGAACATTCTTATCATCTTTTATCTTTCCTTGAATGTTAAGAAATATTTCAATCAAACTATCACACACATTTTTCTCCACATGCATCACATCAAGATAATGTCTTACATCGAGACTAGACCAATATAAAAGATTAAAGAGCTTTAACCTCTTTTTCCATATATTTTCTACGTGGGCTCTTTTTGATTCTTTCCAAAGACAACGTTAATGTGTTGTTGTTATTGATAAACTTCATCCCTGATTAAGGGGTTTTAAGCAATATCAAACTCCTGTTCTCTATTAAAAGCCTTCTACAATCTACGATATGGATGATTAGGTTTTAAATTTTTTTGATGCCCAAGATAAACATTATTTTTTCCATTCTTTAGTTAGTGATAGCATGTATCATATTCACAAATAATACACTTTTATGTCGTTTAAAGTTGTACCCATAAAAATTATCTGTGTAGAAAAGTCATTGATTTTGCAAAACAACATGGTACACATCTTAAAATTTTCACCAGAATATGCATCATCAATATCAACATCTTCCTCCCACAAAACTCTTTAATCTTCAATCAGTGAACTTAGATAAATATCTATGTCATTCCCTGGTTTTCTTGGCACAAAATCATCATGGAAAACATCTTATATTTGTGTTTCATGCAGAATCCCAAAGATAAGTTATAGATTATGATAAGAACATGCCATGAAGTATGGTTAATACTCATATTTATCAAATGGGCTGACTCTATTAGTGACAAGTCTAAGCCCAAGGTTTCTTTGCTCATAATTTGTGTACAACGAATCAATTTTCATGCACTCCAAAAGATCAACTACATGGCGATTTTTTCCATCATATTTTCTTTCATCTGCATCACATTTAATATTCTTTGCGCCATTTACATTAAAAAAAATCCGTTGAACATTGAAATTATTGGTAGGAACCACATCACCTTGGCAGTAGGACCCTTTATGCTTGCATCATCATCATCGTGACCATTATCCATCAACTTGTAGCGCGACTTCCCACACTTTGAATAATGATTTAAATTTTTATTCTCATTCATGTATAATATGCAATTATTATGACATGCGTGTATTTTGATATAGTCCAAATCAATAGGACATAATATCTTCTTGGCCTCATAATTATGGTTCGACAACATGTTACCTTGTAAAAGCATGTCTTTCAACAATTCAGTCAATTCAATGAAACTTTTATCTGTCTGCCTACTTTTTACCTTCAAACTAAACGATCTTAACACTACTGACAATCATATAAAACTTGTGCACCCTTAATATAATGGCTCTTCTTTGTTATAAGTTAAAGTATCATAAACATGAGATTTTCTAAAAGAGTCTTCTAAAATATCATATGTCATATGTTCTAGTCGATCATTCATATCTACATCAATTTCATCTTTATGTGAAGCAATTGATATTTTTTCCACTTCACCATGCCACATTCATGTCGTATAATATTGACTTATTCCATCACAAAATGGATGATTAAAAATTTCTTTCTTTTTAGTTTTTTTTTGTATTTCCTCGTAAAACACAAGGACGATAAAACATTTCATTACTTTTAGGAGGTTTTATTTTAGCAAATTGAAGAAAGTCAACCACTTTATTCTCATACTACGATACATAACTACTTTCTTAGAATAAAATAAAAATCCTGGTAAAATCTTACATTTTGAGTGGAAACTTTGCTAAGTTAAACACTTTGCTAAGTCACATCAGAAAATCAAAATATTACTAAGTCACATTGTACAAAAAAAAACACATATATTAAATTAGACACACATTGCTAAGTTACATTTATAAACTACACTTTTTAACAACATTCAATTTAAATTTCTCCACACTTTTAAGAGATATGGAATTCGGTGATTCACTGCTTCAAGTCAAACTCTCAACTTGGAAGGGTCAAATGTTATCAATGGGAGGAGGGTAACCCTTATAAACTCAGTGCTGACTAACCTCCCTGTGTAGTATCTCTCTTTCTTCAAAGTCCCAACTCAGATTGCCAAAGTTTTGGTAGCGACCCAAAGGAGACTTTTTTGGCCAGGATCGAAAGATAAGACAAGTATGACTTGGATTAGTTGGTCCTTCATCTGTAAGCCAAAGACTCATGGTGGTATTGGTATCAAGAACATTGGTGTTTTCAACATTGCCTTGTTGCCGAAGTGGTTGTGGAGATTCATTAAAGAACCTTCTGCTTTATGGAAGACGTTCCTTGAGGCCAGATATGATTCTCTTAAGAGCAAGGTTATGTTAAAGAAGGAGCTTAGGGACTCAAAATCATATTCATTATGGTGGAGGGACATTATGAGGGTGGGAGATGTAATGGAAGAAAAAGGTTTTACAAGGAAGGTATCGTGTAAGCTTGGGGAAGGAAAGTTTGTTTCTTTTGGAACTCTTGTTGGATTGGGCAATTACCTCTCATGCGCGCTTATCTAGGTTTGTTTGATGTGTCTGTCTAGAAGTGGGATTCTGTCAATGAAATGGGGGTGTGGTCGGGCGAGGAGTGGATGTGGGACTTTAGATTCATGGAACATGCTGTGGTGGGTAATTTGGTTTCCAATCTAGCAGAACTCAAGGCTTTGGTTGCATGATTTTCACCCTGCACTGGTTGTGAAGATAAGTTTGTTTGGAAAAGGTGTCCTCAACAAATATTTTCTGTTAAATCCTCTTATGCATGTTTAATACTAGTTGATAGTTTGAGAGATCACGAGATTGCTCCAAGGCTGCCTTGGAAATTCTCTGGGCAACTAAAATCCCCTTGAAAGCAAAATTATTTGGTCGGAGATTGATTTTGTACATGTTACCGACGAGATCAAACCTTGCAGCTAGGGGAGTAATCTCTAACTCCCGTTATTTGGTTTGTATGTTTTGTTTCAATGTTGTGGAAGACATTGATCATTTGTTTTGCTCGTGTCCCTGCATTTGGCTGGTGTGGAGAAGTGTTTCAGATTGACTTAGAATTACATGGGTAGACAAAGATAGTCTATGCAAATCCATGTTGGGTTGGTTTTTGAAGATGGAAAGGCGCTGCGACAAGGCATTCACATGCTTCATATGGATCACGTCTTGTTGGATAATATGGTGGACAAGGAATCAAATCTTGTTCAATTATGCGAATGTAGGAGACACTTTTCATAGGATTATCCACACTTCTTGGTGGTGGTTAGGTTTTTGCTCCCGTGGAAAGGTGAAATGTAGTTACTACGAATGGTTTAAGAATCCCTCAGATTGTTTATAGGCCTTGTGTATTGTATGTAGGTGGTTATGGTTTAATGTGTATTTTGGTGACCTTGTTGTATGTGGGTTGAAGTACCCCTAGTACTTCTTTGAATATATTGTTGCTTATAAAAAAAGATGTTAATAAGTTAACACAACAACAACCACATTAAAATCTTCAATCTCACAACAACATTAAACATTCAATCTCACAATAACATTAAACATTAAATTTCATCAATAATAACAACAACAATATAAAACCTTCAATCTCAATAACAACAACAACATTAAACCTTTTACTTATATCAACAAAAACAACAAAATAAAACATTCAATCTCAATAACACCAACAACAGTGGACCTTTTACTTATCTCAGTAAAAAAACAATTATATAACATTCTATCTCAATCTCAATAACAATAAGAATACTAAACATTTTACTTATGTCAACAAAATAACAACATAAAACATTCAATCTCAATCTCAACACAACAACAACAAAATAAAAACTTCAATCTCAATCTCAATAACAACAACAATAATCTTTAGGATGTAGGGTCTCAACAATGACAACAACAAACAACACTAAACCTAAAATATCTCAACAACAACAACAATATTATTGTTACATGCATTTTAAGAGAATATTTTTACAAATAGATCATTAACCTATGACATTGGGAAACACGTTAACATTAACCTTAAAAGATAAATTATTCAATTTACTTTTAGACTTTATTTGTGAGTTTGGAGGAGAGAAGAAGATAGTATTTCGAAATATATATATATATATATATATATATATATATATATATATATATATATATATATATATATATATATATATATATATATATATATATATATATATATATATATATATATATATATATATATATATATATATATATATATATATATATATATATATATATATATATATATATATATATATATATATATATATATATATATATATATATATATATATATATATATATATATATATATATATATATATATATATATATATAACATTTTTATAAAATTATTTATTTATTTATTAGAATGATAAAATAATGTTTATCATTAATATATTTTAAATTTTTGAAATATTATGACAAAAAAAATTAAACAATTTGTTTAAGTCCTCCAAAACTCTTCCCTAATAAAAGTTTTGAATTTCTCAAATAATGGAATTTTTGATATTATAAATAAACACAAATTCTCAAAAACCCTCTCAACTAAAATCCTTCTATTTTTTTCACTCAATCTTTTCAATTTTTCAAAACCCTCCCCCCCTCTTCCTCTCCAAACTTCCAAACAAAACATTAATCTCTAATTTAATTAAATTTGAGAAAGATCAAAACTTAATTTAGATGGAAATATTACAACCGAACTAATTGCCAACCAAATAAACATGTTTCTTATTCTCCCAACTGTATAAGGCCTATAAAGGAGTATATCCTCACTTCCTATACAAAGAGTCTTTATATATCTTCCATCTGCATACACTTTTACTCTCTAATTATGTTATATCTACGTTGACTTTGACATCATAGTCTCTATTCTTAGACAAAAAAACACAAACCTATTGTTTAAGTTTACAAAAACATAAAAAAAAATTGAGATAAAATAAAAAACTTAAAAAGTTATACATCTTTAAACACATATGATCAAATATTAAAATCTTTAGAAAAGTATAGGCAAGTGTCTCTTTTGAGTGATACCCTAACGATTCTAAGTTCCATGTTGCTTGACTTTGTATTATTTAGAGTCCTTATATGCAAAACAATTAAACAAAACTCCATATTTGCACAAGATTAGACAAAATAGTACTGTACAATTTGTGCAAAAATTTCAATTTACACTCTTGCTTGCATGATTGGCTTTATGGACTTTTTCTTCTTGAAATTTTGGTTTAGAGAAAAACCTACCAAAAAATCATGATTATGAGCTACTTTGACCAAGTTTGTTCAAATCTTTACTTAAAATTCACTCCATCATTCTCATTATCACATTTTTGGTCATATTTTGAAAGTGTATCAGTTTATGAGCTCTTATTTTTAAAAAATGGAAAATGTTGCCTAATCTATATGTTTTTCTTTTCCAATATAAAAATTTCAATTTTTTTTTAATATCTTTGAATTTCTTAACTCCTTTGAGCACAAGTTTTTGGCCTAAACCATCAAAAACAAAATTTCTGTAAAACAAATATTTTTTCCAAATTAATAGTGTTGTATATTTTATTTGTTTTTGCTGAGAAAAAAAAATTAAAATGATGCACTCTTATTACTAGACAGGAGGACACTGCAGATTTTCAGATAGCAGTGAAGAATCTTTTGCAAAATTAGCAATATCTGGAGAGTTATTTTTAGCATAATTGAAAATAATATTTCTAGCTAGTCCAAAAATTTGCAGAATCATTTTTCTTCAATTTACACATGTAAAGATGAACATATCTGCAGAATGCTTCTAAATTTTTTTTAAACAAATGACTCAAAAGTAGTATAGAAAATGTGAAACTAGAATTAATTAAAGGCAAAAACTATACTATAGTGCATATCAATAAAGGAAAAAAAGAAACTGAGAGGAATAATGGAAAGTGAAATACACATTGATATTTATTATATAAAAATAAAATAAAAAGGCATTGATAAAGTTGGACAGGAATAGTATAGAATCTACTTTGACAGAATTGAAGAGTACAATTAATCTGGCAAGCAGAGGCATCAAACACCTTACATATCATATGATTGAATATTACATAACTTATTTTATTCTTTTCTCTCTCTCTCACACATCTTTTCTTTCACTTAGGTAATGTAACTGCAGGTTATAATTCTGCATCAGCCGAAAGCATTCACAGTTGCCTTAACAACACATTGCTTGCTTTCACATACCTAAGTTTTCCCTCATTCTTATTTTATTATATGTTTTCTTTGATTTTATTTATAAAAAAAATTTGTTTTTTTTTAAATTTATTAAATAACAATAATTTAAAAAATCTAGAAAATAATTAAAAATAACACTATATATAGTTATATCATAATTGTATAATAAGAAGAAGAAATATTGTAGTGTAAACGGTAAGATGATTAAGAAAGGAAATTTGAAATGGAAGAGAAATATAGGGGGTGGTCCCAGAAAAGGAAAAGTGTGAAGAGCATAATGTCCTTGTGGAAGCTTTTTGAGCTGGTTTGACCGTATACGATATTCCCTGAAAACCAATTGAAAAAAGAGAGAGAAATAAAGTGGTCCAATTCCTTTTTGCATACTATCAATGAGATTCCCCTTCACTGGGCCATCATCATCATCATCTTCTTCATACAATCATGCTTTTGCTTTTCCCATGATCTTTTCTTTTCTTTTCTTCATTTCAAACCCTGTCCCTTCCCACACATGCGTGTGCGTTTCTGTTTCTGTTTCTATCACAGACACATACCCACCCTGCTTTCACTACTAACTCTCACCTATCTTCCTTGCATCAAAACATTTTCAACACTTATTCAAACCAACAAATATAAACACTGCTTAACTTTTTCTAACTACTTTTTTGTAAATATTTTATGCTACCATATGTTGCTTCATTTTATCCTTTTACCTTAATGTTGTTGTATAACAAATAACAACTCATTGGTGTGTCTGGAACTGCATTGAACAATATCAAGCGCCATTATGTTACCGTAAACCCTAGTAGTATACCCTAGCCGTAGCCTTAGAATTTATGCTAGGGCCAACCATGGATTTAAATTACGGATGCAGTTGTGGTTGCAAGTGTTCAAAATACTTGGTTGATAAATACTCTATGTAATAATTTATCATTACATCATAAATAAATTGAGTTTTGAGGGTTTTGAGAATTTAAGTTTAGATAAAATAATATTTGAAGAAATATGAATGGAATTCCTAACGGTGTCCAATTTTAGATCACACTTAAAAATAACAGAAGTTACAGTTTTGGAGGTTGCAGACAATATCACTTGCAGCCATATTTACAGTTGTGGACTGCAATTTAAAACCATAGGTTCAACCAAGCAAATTTGTTCTTAACAATTTCAGAATGTTATTTATTTGTCATATAAATTAAATTTTAATGAGAAATAACTAACCAGTAACCTAACCCTAAAAATACATCTCAATTGATATCAACGAAGACAAATGCAAGAATCATAAAGTTTGAACTCAAATTCACTATTGTGAGTTTAACTACTAA